CCCCCCCCCCAAAAAAATCCTACTATTTTCAAAGACAACCCAATTTCACACACACAAAAGTGTTGAATAGAGGTGCCACACAGACAGGAAGATTCAAGTTTAAAAAAAAAAAAAGCAAGTTTAAGAGGCTGATAATGAGATCAGCTTAGACATGTGTAGAAATCCCAGTAGGATGTCCAGCTGGAGCAACAAATCTGCGAAGGTGATAACTGAAACAAAGGGAATGAATGAGATTAAAGGAAATAATAGAGACAATGGAAAGAAAGGGGGACAAGGACTAAGAGGAAGAGGGGAAAGGCAGTCCCTTGGGCAGCACTCATATTAAGGGATGGGAAAGAAGACATTGACCTAGCTAAAGAGACAGAGAGGTAGAAAAACCAAGAGAGTTTGGTATCTCTTAAGTCAAACGAAGAGAGTATCTAATAAGAGTATAAGAAGAGAGTAATGAGAGTAATAAGAGTAGAACAGAAAGATTACTGAGCAGCACTGAATCTACTATGGGTGAAATCAATTGGATTTCATTACTTTGTCCAATGATGTTTCTATGGAATGCGAATAGGACTAACCAAAAAAATTTTTTAAAAAAAAGTCAGCTAGTCATCCAGGGTCAGGAACAATTGAAGAGGGGAATGGGCAATGAGAAATTCTAGGGCCACAGCAGACCATGGAGTCATAAAAATAAAGGAATCCTAGAATTAGAAGGAATCTAAAAGATCAATGTTACCACAGGAAATTTCTACAAGATTCCATCTGTCCTTTATTTGTAGACCAGCAAAGATGTACTAATTACTTACTTTAAAAGCCCATTCACTCTTGGTGAACTCACTGTTAAGAAATATTTTCTTATACTGAGCTGAAAAGTGCCTCGGCAAAAACTAATATTAGTCATATGGGGACAGGCAAAACAAGTCTAATCTCTACTTAGTGGAACAGGCTTTTAAATACTTGAAAAAGATTATAATGTCCCATTGCCAAGCATATGAAGTTTGAGCTAATATTTTCTGGTCCCCTCTCTATCTTGATTTACCCTTTCTCTGGATAAGCCACAGCAGCTCTTCGATGGTATTCCTTAAATGGATATGGAAACAAGTGAAGCCAGAATGAGGGAAATGAACAAGGAGAATCAAAAGGATGCTAATGAGGGTAAAGAACAAAGACATGAGAAAGAAAAAAGTACATATAGTCAATAAAATTCCAATTTTGGAGGTAGTACAGTTTTGAGACATGGTAAGGTATAGGTACAACCATGCTGGTATGAGGGTGTGGGTGTCTGAGGTGGGGTAGCATAAGATCATCAGAGTTAAGGAAGTAAGAAATTATGTGGTCAGCAAATTCCAGTGGTTATCAACATGAATATGGAAGACCTCAAAGGTCAGGGTTAGAGAAAAGAGAAAGATCATAGGCCAGGTGTAAAAGTCACTGAGAAAATTGAGAAATCACTAGTTGACAGCAACATTAAATATTATATTAAATAAATAAATGGTCTGCATGCATTCAAAATAAGAAATTTTATTTTAATACTGATAATATTACAGGAAATCTTTTAGAGAAATAGTCAGGCAATGGGAAATCAAGGCACACATCAACCACTCTGATTAGTCCTTAAGTTGATGGGAGTAAAATGAATGGCATCCAGTGATGACAACTGTCAGAGATGTCTCCCAGAAAAAATCTCTCTCAGTTAAAGTAAAGAAGCAAAAATATTTGGAAAGAAAAGGTAAAGAATAGATGGGAGTTTACAGTAGTTCTAAAGGACTCAGTGCTATGGTCCATGGAAACTAGAACTGGGTTGGAATGTGCCAAGAGAGGAAATTGGACTTACTGAAACAAAGATAAGGGTACAGAAAGAAGTGGTAGGTACATGTAGCTTGCTTCCATGGCAGAAAAAAAAATGCATGGCTGGACTTAAGGAAGCCAAATGAACAGGAAACTAAAGTATGACAAGAAGTAGACTAATATGGCACGTTGGCAACAGGCATTCTTCTAATCATAATGTATTTATTAAGTACCTATTATGCACCACTCAATGTGCTAGGTACTAGAAATAAAAGTACAAAGAATGAAACAATTCTTACTTGCAGTAAGTTTATATTCTAATGGCAGAAGCAAGTATATGTATGTGTGTATACACACACAAACACACAGATATTCATAAAATAAAGTTAATGGAAATATATACAAAGTTGTTAAATATAGGTAGCTTAGGATGGAGAGCACAAGTGGAGCTGAGAGGATAAGGAAAGGCTCATGCAAAAAATGGTGCTTGAGCAGCATCTTAAAGGAAAAGAGATTCTATGAGACAGAGGTGGGAAAGGGGTACATTCTAGGCATTCAGGAAAGCCAAGACATCAGAGATGAAGTGTCATGTATGACAAAGAGAAGATCAATTTAGCTAGATTCTTGGGGTGGAGGTGGGAGGAAGGAGGAAGAATGACAGAATAGAGAAACACACAGTGAGGCTAGAAAGGCAGCAAGTTGTAAAGGTCTTTAAAAGCTAAATTAGAATTGTTCATATTGTATCCCAGAGCCCAGTGGAAGTCATGAGAGTTGATTAAATAGGGGAGTCACATGGTCAACTTGACACTTAAGGAAAATTACTTTGGCAGTAATGTACAGGATGGACTGGGGACTTGAAAGAGCGAGACAAATTAAGAGGCTTTTGCATAATCAAAAAGAGAGAAGTCCTACTATGTGAGTGAAGAAAGGGGGTAGGATGGGAGAGATGACACAAAGGTAGAAATGGCAAGATCTGACAACTGATTATGTAAGGTGAAAAAGAATGCTAGAGATCTGGAATTTATGCTACTTGCCACCAAACCAAGAACTTCTTTCAAAATTATTATTGATTTTTTTTATATCATCTTAATTTCCAAATACATACCTCTACCCAGAGATTTATCCCTTGTAACAAATAAAAAGGGGGGGGTGGAGTTCATCAAAACTAACCAACATATCAGCTGAATCTGACAACATAAGCAATGTTCTATAGCCATAGTTTCTCACTTCTGCAAAGGGGAAGGAGGTACATTTTCTTATGTCTTCTTTGGGACCAAGAAAAACAAGAAGTTGTATCTAGCCCTGAAAAGTATACAGATTCAGCCACAGCATCTTGAAAATAGCTCTATTCTTCTCACCTAACAAGATATGACACTTCTTTAACAATTTCCTTCTTCATATACTTTCAATGAGCTTAGAGAAGCTACCATAATCTTATGTCACTGCCTTTGTTCTTAACAAAGAGAATTAGCCTTGCCTATAAAACTTTACAGACACTTATTCAAGAACAGAACTAGAACTAACAAGGAAAAACTATAGGCAAGGAGATTTCAGCTCAATATAAGGAAGAACTGTCTAATAATCTAAGTTTTGTAGCTATGGAAAAGGTTACCTATTAGCACTGCTAAAAGACTTTAATGTCTTTCTAAGCTCCTGCAGCCTAAATTAATCAAGCTTTACTAATTTGTCCAGCTATTTCTTCTTTTACATGCTTTACAATTGAAGATTAAATGTTAACTTTAAGGCTGCATGTTAATACCTAAAACCAGATAATAATTTTAACAATGATCCTAAAATGTATTGAAATTTCTAAAATAGTCAACTCTGTTTTATTAAACTGCTCATCTATATAAAGTTATTTTCTCTTTAGGGTACTAATGCATCATTATTTTGGAGGAGGTGTAGATAAGCTCATACACACAAACACATATACACTCAAATAGTTTATCTCTTTTTCGGCTAATCAATAATGTATATGACTACATTCAAAGAGTTCAAAAATGCTCCTTCTCTTTTATGAGGCCCTTTCAGGCAAAGTGTGATCCTATAATAAACCTAAATAAACCCTTCAAAGTACTTTCTTTTACAGAATATGTCTACAGATGACTGAAAATAAGTTTTCTTTTTGTTTTAATGTATACAATATAAAAAATTTGTGAAAGTATCTAGTTTTTAAAATATAAGTTATACAAGTTATGTAAGGACCCACAAAAACAACACATTATAAGCAAAAGCAACTTGAAAAGAATAGAGAACTTTATCCTCCTACTTGGGATATTCAGAAGATGGTGATGTTACTAATTACATTATCTACTTACCAATTTATCATTTTCATTGGGCATTTCAAATACACATCTCAATTTGGAATCCATCAGTTCATCAGGTTTTGCTTCTTTCCACTAAAAAAATTTTATTACATATCAAAAATCTAAATAACAATTCTCTCTCAATTCATATAAAATGCATATAATACAATACATACATGCTATTTTCGAAAACAGTTTTGAGAGTTATTTATTAAATCTGCAGCATCCTCCCCACCCCTACCCCACAAAATACCTTTGGTCTGCTTACCAAAATTTTATTATGTAAAATAAAATCAATATTTCCTTTCATCTAAAATTACATGTTTTAAAGCTCCAATAAAGTGAAAGTATGAATTATTATGATCAAGCTTTAACAGAATATATAGGCTGAATTTTTCCACAATTCTAGGACTGAACTTAAACAAGCAGACAGAAAGTACTATGTGCCTTTTTCTATAATGCCAACTTTGCCTTTATTCCTGCTTCTTAGTCTCTAGGGCTAAAAACAACACTAAGGATTCAGCAATCCTACAAGCCAGAATTTGAAGTGACAACAATGAAAAAGAATGCAGTCTCTTGGGCTATGAGTATCTCCTAAATCTGCTAAGTTATAAGGTGAACTATAGTCTGTTCCCCCTAAACATTTTTAAATTGTCTTAAAGTCTTCGGTCGTTTGTAAAAGTAGCAAGAAGTTCCAGGCAATAGAACCCTCTTCCTTAATTATTGTGGTGCTTCCCTCATCTTGATTAAATAGCCTAAGAAGCACACATTGGGGGCAGTTTTATTTTGTTAAATATTTCCCATTTTAATCACATCTTAATCTGGTTTGTTAAATATTTCCCAATTACATTTTAATCTAGTTTGGGTCACACTTGGAAATGTTTCAAGCCATACACGTAAAACCACTGCTTTAGAGTACATGGACAGGTCTAGGAACCATGTAAATACTTTAGTGCTGACTGGAACCTTATTTGTAAAAGAATATTATTAACTTTAAGTTGTAATAGGATTTAAAGGTTAGAGGGTTTTTTCTTCACTTTTTTTTTTTTTTTTTTAAAATAAAGGTTAAAGTAGAAATGCATTTTGTGGAAAGAAAGTAGGAGGAAAACCTCCAAAGCTTCTCGTTCTGAGGCATTTTTCTTTATACTTTAATGACTGAATAATCAATTCAAATGACTAGCTTTTATAAAGGGCCTGAGTTTTAAACACAGAACATATGACAGAAGGCAAATATATAATGCTTACTTCAAAGTTCAAAAGCTTCCTCAATTATAGAGAGCTTCAGCTATAAACATAGATAGATATAGATATATCCATTAGATGCAAAGTCAGAGCTCCCTTTCTGTGTAAGTTTACAGATTTTCTAAAAAAAACTAATTCTTAATTGCTCAATTATAGATAGCTTCAGCTATAGATATATATATAGATAGATATAGATGCAAAGCCAGAGCTCCCTTTCTGTGTTAAGTTTACAGATTTTCTGAAAAAGTACTATTTTTAATTGCTCCTTTAAACACTACTAAACTTAGGACTCTAGTATTTAAAATACAAGTGCAGCAAACTAACTTTGAGAACAATAAAGAACACAGAATAAGGTCACAGGATCATCATTTAGGGCTAAGTGCGTCTTCTGAGGACATCTAATCCAATTTTCTCATTATAGATGGCAAAGGCGAGGCCCAGAGAGGGGCCCAAATGTAATTTGGCTAATATCACAAAGGCAGAAAGAGAGTAAAGGAGCCAGAATTCAAACAGGTTAACTGATTCTAAATTCTGCATTCTTTCTTGTGTACCATTCTACCACCAAGAGGTCAGGAATTAATAATTTGCTTCACTACTCATTTTTTTCGAAAATAAATTTCTGCTTTACATTGATATTTCCTTTAGATAATACCAATATGCTTCTTATGTCATTGTAATCAATGATAAGAAGAGAAAGGGTTATTCCAAGATCCTGTTCTGGAGCTGACAAATAGTCAACAAATTTTAGAAATAATCTTACCCAATCCCATCATTTTACAGATGAGGAAAAGGAACTGGTGAGATTAAATGACATGCTGAAGATCAAAAAGAAACAGACAGCTTTAGCAATGATCCACATTCAAGAAGTAGAAAGTACCAAATTGGCATCAGCTTCCAAACCGAAAGTTTCAGAAACTGAAATTCCATTTGTCCTCTATTAGACAACAATGTCTTCTTTTGGAGGTTATTAATAGCAAAAGTAAAATATGGACCAGTTTACACCTATATGAGACAAAAATTAACAAGTAACTAGCTTAAAAACTTCCTGATGGGGCAGCTAGGAGGCACAGTGGATAGAGCACCAGCCCTGAAGTCAGGAGGACCTGAGTTCAAATCTGGCCTCAGACCAAACACTTGACACTTTCTAGCTGTGTGACCCTGGGCAAGTCACTTAACCCCAACTGCCTAAGCAAACAAAAAAAAAAAGAAAAAAGAAAAACTTCCTGAAGTACTCTTACCACACAGTGAAACACGCAAAGACATTCACACCTAATCTGAGATACCAGAATGCCTAGTGAAGAAAGGAGAATTAGGGCATCTACAATGGTATCTCTATTTAAAAGTTTACAAAGAAAATACAAGGCCTGATGCTCTTCAGCAACATTTTCTCAAGGACAGAGAGAAAGGCTCACAAAAGCACCATTTTTAATTCCTGGAGAGAAGAAAAGTAATGGGAAGCTTCTACATGTTACATTTCTGAGACTTAGAAATATATGTGAACCTTTAGAAATTAAAAATATTTATAGCCTTCGCTGCAAAAAAAAAAATCAGTTAAGAGAATTAAAACAAATTAATAGAAAGGAAAATCTACTGAAAATACCTGGTGTGACTCTCATAATCGTAGCTAGTGAACATTAACACTTTGTTCCAAGATAGTCATTTCTGGAAACACTTGCAATTACTATACACTAAACTGTGTGAGAGCTCATACTTCAAATCTTAAAATAGGAAAATTTCTACATGAAAGAAATTAACATTCCCATATGCACCATTAGTAATCAGAAAACCCTAGTAACTGAGACAAAAGAAAATCAAAAAAAGGTTAAAACTATACATTTAGATGGGTCACTTGACAATATCTTTGATTTTAAAATAAATTCTATGGTAGTGAATGCTGAAGTTTTTAAATAATCACTCTCTGGGATGACTATAGAGGCACAATATTTCTTAATGCCTTATAGTTTACACATCTTAAATGATTCCTAAAACTGAATTCATTACAGAATGTACTCACCACAGCCTCCATATCTGAAGTGTTTGATGGAGCAAAAATCGTCTGTACCATAAACTTGTGTTTACTCTTCTCATTTGGATCATAGTCAAAAGGCTGTAGCATTACTAAATAAGAAGAAGGAGTAGATTACACTGTGTTAAATTTATTCTACTCATATATGCTACCCTGTATCTGAGATGTAATGTTTTATATTTAGGAAGGATATGACAAGTCAAATGCTTGTATATTTATACTAAACATCCTAAATCAACACCCCTTAGGGAACAATTTTAATTTAACTTAAGCAAAATTTATTTTTTAAAAATGGGGAGGAAATGACTAGTTAGTAAAAAGGTAAGGATACAGCTAACAAAAATTCTGACAAAACTTCAAAATTCTATCTCATGCTTTTACTTACATCATTCCCATTAGTCTCAATTTATAGTTAACAAATATTTGTGAAAACTAACAGTTAACTAAGGTCCCGTTTCTGGCATTTCCTGATCAAGTACTATTTCCCCCCTCAAATTAAGACACCTAGATTAGAAATGATGTACTCAGTAAAACAAATCCCCTTTTCCCCATCACTTAAAATTCTAGGGTAATGGAAAATATTTAAAAGATTGTTAGCACTTAGAAAATCATGTCTGCTTAGAGAAGTGCTTCAAAGAATTCTAAGATAGTCGCATTTCTAATGAAAATGTCCCAATAATCAAATACATTTCCCAACCTCCCATCCCCAACTGTGCTGATATATTCTGGGAAAATTGACTTACAGAGCCACCGTGTGGTATAAGAAGGAACATGTTGTAAACTGTAAATGTATAATTTGTTATTTTCCTAATCATATCATAATTAACATGTGTACCTAATTTTGTCAGGTATACAACAGAGGAGTACACTTAACAAGGACTACTAAAAATGTATTTGCTGGGGGCAGCTAGGTGGCACAGTGGATAGAGCACCGGCCCTGAAGTCAGGAGGACCTGAGTTCAAATCCAGTCTCAGACCAAACACTTGACACAAAGTAGCTGTGTGACCTTGGGCAAGTCACTTAACCCCAATTGCCTCACTTTAAAAAAAAATGTATTTGCTTTGAGTCTTGCAAATCTAATCAAGGGATAGGGAATAGGGATCAGAGGCCTGCACCCTTGATTTCATTGGTATAGGGAACTCCAAGTAAGGAAATTCAATCTCTTCAATTTATAGTCCCAGATAATTGCTGTAGCAGTGAGGGGTAAATTCATTTTCCCAAAGTTACACAGTTAATCTGTGTCTGACTGCATTTGAACCAAGGTCTTCCTGGCTCCAATGCTACTGCTCTCTTCACTATGTCACACTGCCCCAATAAATCTAAAGGGCTTTCAACTGAAAATGATGAGAAAATAGCCCATTTACAGCCACTGCACTGGATACCACAGAACTTAGTTACAATGTAAAGTAAGTAAATGAATGAACAAATAAACAAACAAATAACACTGAAGCCCAGACACTCAGAAAAGATAAAATCCTAGAATAGATCTAACAACAAACTGTAGGAACTCAAGTATCTAACAAAAATGTATTAAGGGCCAGCGACATCAAGGAAACAAATTTAATCTCACAGCAGGGACAGCTGGATAACAAGAAACAAGAAACAGAGGGATATAAATCATCAGATTACACCACAGACTACACTGGATAGAATAAGAAAGATAAATCAGGAGTTTGAGAAACAGATCATAAGCCATGCATGGAAGCATGACACAGCAATGACAGAAGAATTCATTTAACATAGACATCATCATCTGCTGAAGCTCTTTTGACCAAAAAGAGAACTGCTAATAACTTATTCACTTGCCCTATTGATAATTTCAATCATCAAAAGAAAGAGGATCCAGTAAGGGGAACTGCTGTCCTAGATCAAATTCTCACCAGCAAAGTGGAAGTAGTTGCTCAAGTAGAAATGATGGGAAACTTGAAGGTAAATGATCATCTCAGAATATGTGTGAGAGAAGAGAAAAAGGCCAGGGATCATCTGGCATGATCTAGATTTTAGAAGACCAGATTTCAAGCAAGTAAATTTAGAGAAAGGATCAATAGGATCTAAATAGACTAAAATTAATTGTGAAGAATGAGATATGCCATAGGACTAGAGAAAGGTAAATATCCTGAATTTCAAAAGAGAAAAGAGTGGGGGAGCCTGCAAGCTATACACCAGTAAGTCTGATTTTAATTTCCTGGCAAGATTCTAGAATACATTATAACAAAATTGTATTTGGTTAGCATCTAGAAAAAATAATCAAGACTTCAAGAACAAGTCACATCAGGCTTTTTATTTTTTTAAATTAGACTGGTAATCAGGTGAATACCATAGACACAATTCACCCAGGTTTTGGGAAAGTATTTGGCAAAGTCTATCATCCTGTTCCTCTCAATAATATGGAGACATACAATCTAGGCCACATCATAGCTCTGTGGTTTCAAAACTGGATGAGTGTCCAGTGTTAAAAAGCGTCCAGGTTTGGTACCAACTTACAAAATGGTCTATAGTGGAGTGTCCTGGACATCTGTACTTCAACTTAAACTGTTTACTATTTTATCAATGATATGATGAAAAGCAAAGATCGTGTGCATACCAGACAACAAAATCACTATCAAAAAGATCTTGACAAGACTAGAACATTGGAATAAAAAATATTAAATTTAAATAAGCAAAAATGTAAAGTCAAAAGTGGATAAAAAAATTAACTTCACAAGTACAAGACAAAAGAGGTGTGGATAATAATTACAATTCTATAACAAGTTGAATTCAATTCAGTTAGAAAGGTTCAATGGCTTTACTTAGAGGATCAATATATTTATACTAAATATCTCCCTAAACAATTTATATGCTAGTGCTTCATACTATTCTATTTGAATGTAGTATAATTCCAAACAAACAAAAAGAGCAATTATGATATCCTCAAAATAAGAAAGAAGTCAAGTTACAATATAAGATATTCTTGGATTTAATTTAATACATACTTAAATACTACAACACAAATATACACTCGTCCTTTCTGAGAACTTTCACTCCTCAGCTGGCTCTGCTTCGGACTTTCAGGCCTCAGCTGCCCTCTCATCCTAGCATGTCCCTCAACACCTGGGGCCTCTTCAACCTGTAAGATCTATCCATCCCTCCAAGCCTTCTCATCCCAGAACATCTCTTTGCCATGCTGCCCCCACTCCTCCCATTAGTGAGTTTCTCCACTGCCAAACACCTTGGGCCTTAGCTATTCTAGCTTTCTGGTACACAGTCTTCTTTATAAATTATGTGGTTAGAAAAGATTAGAACATAAAAAACATGTAAATGTATAAGCTTAACTGCCATTCTAACTGGGGAAGCAATTGCCCTCAGACCACATTATTCAAGCGTGTTCATTCATTGTGTAATAGATTTAACAGTAAAATCACATTAAGGGACTATTTGAAAAGACTCTATCTAATTATCAAAAATTTTCACATTTTTTTCTCTTTGCAAAGAACCTGGCAAACCCCTCTAGAGGAAGATCCATTTTACATAGATTTATTAAGTAAAGATCATGCTTCTATGATTCATGACACAGATCAGGAATCCCTGAATTTCATATTAGAACTGGTTTTCTTTGTGTCCTGTCCGTATGCAAATCAAGAGTCAACCGTGTACTAACAAAGGAACCATCTACTGCTGTCGAGATACAAATAAAAATTTTGCTTGGAAAAAAATGAAAAAAATTAATCTCTGGAATTATCATTGAAATTAGTGAGAAAATACTAGGTTCTCTCTTTTAGTTTCCTTTTTATAAAATGTGAGAAACACATATTCAAGTGTTTTTTTTATTGAGATTATACAACAAAGGACTTAATCTCCATGCAGTGACACTCAGAAATGATACTACAAAATTTTAATTGCTGTTGAAGACTAGAAAAGAGACACTAGAAATTTAAAGTTGCATTAATAGTACTTTAGATTTCTTGGGTCTTTCCCCTTTTACTCTCTTGAAAGTCCTTCCTATATAAGGAAAGTACTCAAAGAGAGGACTCCAAGGTTGCAAAACAAGCTAAATATTCAAGCAGCAGCTTCCAGAGCTCTCAGCCCAGAGATCCAGGGAGTCAGACAACTGCTTAGAGGATCCCTTGCTAACAATGGGTACAGATGACACTGACTGGTACCTTTATTGTTCATATGCAGTCTTAGGTGGCTGTTCCCAGGTGGAGAGAAGTACCTGTGGTCAATCACAAAGGAGTAGGGTCCCTGGTTGCAGTTCAGGGAGAGAAGAGCACTAGCAAGGCAGTTGCAGGAGAGCAGAGGGCCTGGTCATAGTTCCAAAGCCAAGAGAAGCACTAGTGCTTGCAGCTGCATGGGACCAGGGGCCCTTTCTGGGTAAAGAACAGAGTGGAAAGGGGGGAGGGAAAGGGGGGCGCAGGCACATCTCCATGGATCATACCACCTTGGAAACACTGAAAACTTGCAGACCCACAGAACTAGCTCTGAAAATAGCAGTACAAAAAAAAGCCTAAAACCTGGCACAGTGCCTCCCTACTCCTAGGTGAGCAGAGCCCAACTTTAAGACATAAAGTTCAAAGTCAAGAAACAGGCTGGAAAAATGAGAAAAAGAAAAAGGTCTTGAACATAAAAAACTACTACAATAACAGGGAAGACCAAGATACAAACTCAGCAAAAGACAATTTTTAAAAAAAAAGCTACAAAGCCTAAAAGAAAATGCTAATTGGACATAAACCCAACAAGAGTTCCTGGTAGAGTTAAAGAAAGAAAGAGATAAGAGTGAGAGAAGAAAAATCATGAAGAGAAATGACAGTGATGCTAGAAAATTGTGAAAAGAGAATTAACACTTGACGAAAGGCTCACGCGCACACACACACACACACACTCACTCACTCACTCACTCACTCACTATGGAAGAAAACAACACTTGAAAATAACAGAATTAGCCTAATGGTAAAAGAGACACAAAAATTCACTGAAGAAAACAACTCTTTAAAAAGCAAAATAGGCCAAATGGAAAAAGAGGTACAAAAGTTCACTGAAGAAAACAATTCCTTAAAAATGAGACTTTGGCAAGCTGAAGCTAATGACTCCATGAAACATCAAGAAACAATAAAACAAAGTCAAAAGAATTTTTAAAAATAGGGGCAGTTAGGTGGTGCAGTGGATAGAGCACCAGCCCTGGATTCAGGAGGACCTAAGTCCAAATTCGGTCTCAGACACATAACATTTAACTGGCTGTGTGACCCTGGGCAAGTCACTTAACCCCCACTGCCCAACCAAAAAAACCAAAAACCAAAAACCAAAAAACCAAAAAAAAAAATTTTTTTAAATAAAAGAAAATGTGAAATATCTTATTTGAAAAACTAACCTGAAAAATAGATCAAGGCGAGATCTGGACTACATGAAACCCATAATTTAAAAGAAAAAGGAGCCTAAATATCATATTTCACTGAACTATAAAGAAAAACTGTCTTGATATTCTAGAACCAGAGAAAAAGTAGAAACTGAAACAATTCACCAATCACTTCCCGAAAGGTCTTTTTCCTTTTCTTTTGATCTCTTTAGGGTACAGACCTAGTAGTGGTATTGCTGGGTCAAAGGGTATGCACAGAAAAAGAGTTCTTCAGCAACTCTTTTTATGGTGAAAAAGAATTGGAACTTGAGGGAATACTCTTCAACTAAGGAATGGCTGAACAAGTCATGGCATAAGATTGTGAAGAAATGACAAGGAGGATGATGTCAGAAAAACATGGCAAGCCCTATTTGAACTAACGTAAAGCAAAGTGAGAAAAACCAGGAGATCATTGTGCACAGTAACTGCAATGTTGTAATGACGATCAACTGTGGAAAAACTTAAGCTACTCTTATCAATACAACGACCAAAGACAATTCCAAAGGACTCATGATGAAAAATGCTATCCACCCAAAGAGAAAGAACTGAAGAACTCTGAGTGCAAACTGAATTAAAGTTTTCTCATTTTCTTTTCTTTTCTTGCTTTGTCTTGGTATGATATAGTTAATATGGAAACTGTTTTGCATTTTACATGTATAATTGGTATATTCCTTGCTTTCTCAGTGCGTGGGGAAATGGCAGGAGAAAGGGAGATAATCTGGAACTCAAAAAACATTTTTAAAAGAATGTTAAAATTTTTAAAAGGAAAAAAGAACACCCATGAGCTATATTTCTAAGTCAGACTTGGGAAAACAGCCTGTCAAAAAATGTACTTAATAGGGACAACTAGGTGGCACAGTGGATAGAGCACCAGCCCTGGATTCAGGAGCACCTGAGTTCAAATTTGGACTCAGACAGATAACACTTACTAGCTATGTGACCCTGGGCAAGTCACTTAATCCCATTGCTTAGCCAAAAAAAAAAAAAAATGTACTTAATAACCAAAGTGATTAAAGTGTGGTTTCATCATAAAGTATTAAAGACTATGTGGAATGACTGTCAGGGACACCCTGTGATTCAGAATTTCAGCAAGGAATCTGCTCTGTGTATGGGCCAATTCTTAAATGAGAAGACCATGAACTTCCTTAGGTTCTCCTAGATTTTCAAACTTCCAGTGAAGGCCCTCAATTTGGTCCTTCCAAACAAGGTACAGTCTATAAGCTAGCAATCTTGTTAGCAAATCTTGCAAACTCAATGCCAAATCATATTTGTTTTTTTTAAATTGCCACAAAAGTAGAATACGTTATACATTAAGTTTTTTAAAGATGTAAAAAAAAAAGCCTGAAATAATTTAATAAATTTAATTATTTTACTTTGTCCCAATTAATTTGTACAACACTGTATGCCTGGGAGAAAATTACACCCATCAAAGGTGATGAGCTTACCAAAAGCTTGTAAAACAATAAGATAAAAGAGATGAGGAAAGAATTTGGAGGACATTCAAAATCAGGAGCATGATATGGATGATAATTCAGCAAAAAAGCCTGAGTTATTCAAACAGGTGGGAGGTAAACCAGAAGAAGAGTTTCCTAAAAACCAGGGGGGAGTAAGAATCCAAGAAAAGAGGTTAATCAGCAAGTGTCAAATAATGAAGAAATAAAAAAAAAAGAATAAAGATTTAGAAAAGAACATCAAACTAGCAAGTAAGAAATCACCAGTGGGGGTAGAGTCAAGATGGCAGAGTAAAAGAAGTGACTTGCTTGAGCTCTCTCCCAAACCCCTCCAAATACCTGTAAAAAACAAATGGCTCCAAACAAATTCTAGAGCAGCAGAACCCACAAAAAGACAAAGTGAAAAAAATTTCCAGCCCAAGACAACCTAGATGGTTGATGGGAAAGGTCTGCTGAGACAGGCTGGGAGAGGAGCGCAGTTCAGTGTGGGCTGCACAGACAAAGACAGGGCTCAGCAAACCTAGAGCAGGCCTCAGGGGACTGAATCACAGGCAGCTATGGAGATTTCCAGACTTTTCAACCCACAAACACCAAAGACAACTTAGAAGTAGGAAAGGTAGGAAAGGTCTTTTCGGATCTTGGTGACAGAGGAGCTCAGTCTGGCCCCAGTCCTGGCACAGCCCCAGGGTAGTGGCTTCTTCAGGAGTTCTCAGCCCAAACGGGGGGAGGGGGGATCAAGCAACTGATCAGAGGGGGATTGCAAGGATCTCTTTGTTGGTGCTGAGGCAGGATTTTCTTGTTTTGCCCCTGCTTGGATCTGGGTCACAGTCCTGGGTGGCAGTCCTGGGGCCAGGAGGAGTGTGGGCATGGTGAAGAGGGAATCCTCCTCACAGTTCTATGGCAGAAAAGACTGCTTGTGGTCACTCATAGACCAGAGCACAGGCCAGGAAAGGAATAAACACCTTGCCTTTGATCAAAGCACTTTGGAAAAACTGAAAATTTATAGGTCCCTAGAAGTATCTCTGAAAACAGCTGCACAAAACCCCCGAAGCTTGAAACAGTACATCCTCCACATTGGAAGCAGACCCCTACTTAACAAAGAGTTTAATAGTTAAGTAATTGGCTGGGAACATGAGCAAACAGAGCAAAAAATGTCAGACCATAAAATCTTACTTTGGTGACAAAGAAGATCAATACATACAACCAGAAGAAGACAACAAAGTCAAAGTTCCTACATCCAAAGCCTCCAAGAAAAATATGAATCAGTCCCAGGCCATGAAAGAGCTCAAAAAGGATTCTGAGAAGCAAATAAGAGAAGTAGAGGAAAAATTGGGAATAGAAATAAGAGTGATGCAAGAAAATCATGAGAAATAAATCAACAGCTTGCTAAAGGAGACCCCAAAAAATACTGAAAATAACATCTTAAAAAATAGACTAACCCAAATGGCAAAAGAGGTCCAAAAAGCCAATGAAGAGAAGAATACCTTAAAAAGCAGAATTGGACAAATGGAAAAGGAAGCCCAAAAACTCATTGAAGAAAATAATTCCTTAAAAATTAGAATGGAGCAAATGGAAACTAATGACTTTATAAGAAATCAAGAAACTATAAAACAAAATCAAAAGAATGAAAAAATAGAAGAAAATGTGAAATCTCTCACTGAAGAAACAACGGACCTGGAAAACAGATCCAGGAGACGTAATTTAAAAATTATTGGACTACCTGAAAGCCATGATCAAAAAAAGAGCCTAGATACCATCTTTCAAGAAATTACCAAGGAAAACTGCCCTGATATTCTAGAACCAGAGGGTAAAATAGAAATTGAAAGAATCCACCCATTACCTCCTGAAAGAGATCCCCAAAGGAAAACTCCCAGGAATATTATAGCCAAATTCCAGAGTTTCCAGGTCAAGGAGAAAATATTGCAAGTAGCGAGAAAGAAACAATTCAAGTATTGTGGAAACACAATCAGGATAACACAAGATTTAGCAGCTTCTACATTAAGGGACTGCAGGGCATGGAATACACTATTCTGGAGGGCAAAGGAGATAGGATTACAACCAAGAATCAGCTGCCCAGCAAAACTGGGTATAATTCTTCAGGGAAAAAAATGGTCATTCAATGAAATAGAGGACTTTCAAGCATTCAAGAGGTATTCAGATTGCAAGCCATCTTGGGGTGTGGGGAGTGGAGAGATGGGGAGAAAATCTGAAACTCAAAATCCAGTGGGAGTGAATATTGAACACTAAAAATAAATTTTTTTTTTTAAATCACAATAACCTTTAGAGAGAATAGTTTCAATTGTGTAATGATGTGGGAAACAAAACTGAAGGAAGTTGAGAATGGAGAGAAGTCTAAGCAGTATGTATAGGCAGATTTTACTAAGAAATTTTCTACGTGAATGGAGAAATATAGGAAAAGAGCTTGAGAATGACTGGGTCAGGTCAGAGTTTTTTTAAAGGATGGAAGAAACCTAAATGTGTTTGTAGAAAACAGGAAATAAACTAACAGGCAAAGAGAAATTGAAGATTGGGAGAAGTCAAACAGATTTACTTGTCTGTAGTGTGGCACTGTTGGCCAAGATCACCAACCAAATCAGTGGACTAAGGAAACTAGCTGTTGGACAAGCTTGACAGGAAGACATGTTTAGATGTGGTGCCAAGAAGGCAGTGATAGTGAGTCATTTTGAGTTCCTAAACAAGATACTTCCATGGGTATGGTGCCTACAGAATAAAAGTAATATAAGTCAAAGTCAAAGGCTTTGGCTCTAGACCAGGATGGTTAACAAAGGGAATATTTAAAAAAAAAAGAAAGAAAGAAACATAAAGATAATTTAGTAAACAATTAGATGTATGTGGCTAATAGACTTTTAAAAATAACAATTTTGACTACCACCCCCCTCCCAACTGTCTGTCACATTGCAAATAAAAGAAAAGGTGATTTTCTAGAATAGTTTGTACCTGTGTAACATCATTGTTAAAATCATCAGAAAAACTGGAAAGCTCTGAATGAACATAATTGCAAGTCATTCAAACAAATCCATAGAACCCATATTAACTATTCAGTACCTGAAACAGTTACAGTCAACCCTGGATCAATAATTCCACTGTTCGGCCTCACACAGTACCGACGAGGTGCTGTTGTCTTCACTTTGAAACATACTTTTCTGTCTGATGGATTTCGAAGTTTAAGATTTGTAGTGACTACATCTGTGAAGGGGCCTGTAATTTAAAAAAAAAATACTCATTGACAGTACAACAAAAAAGTTTGTTTTACAACTCGGAAAAAGTTAAATGAACTTCGTAACAGAAGGAAAATTACTAGGAGTATAAAGACACATATTCCAGTCCTAACTCTGCCACTAATTGGATAAGTGACACTGGACAACTCACAGTTGCTTTGGGACTCATTCTCAACTGGATTCCCTAGCAGTAAGTAATTTCCTGATCCTCCTCAAAAAAGTTAACTTACATTTACTTAGTATCTATTTTTCTTAATTTGTGTACATGGTTGCCCCACCTCCTAAGGTACTTGAGGGCAGGAACAGTATCATTTTTGTCTCTGTATCCTCAGCACCTAGTAGTGTTTACTATAGTAAGCACTTAATAAATGTTTGTTGGCGGAATAAACTGTAAAAATAATTGTTAAAATGAAGTGTAATCAGAACCATGAAAATGATAAATACAATGACTACAATAAACAAAAACTGAAAAAGAATGTTACAAAATTATAATGATCAAGGTTAGTCTCAAAAGAGAGACATTGGAAGATAACCTCCCTCACTTCTTTGTAGACAAGACATGGAGCACTATATATGATTAGACTTTTCTGATGTGTTGGTTAGTTTTGTTGTGCTATTTTGTCTATTTTTTTAAAATAAAAATAATTCTCTATGTGGGAGAACAAGATATAAATTGGGAAATGTAGGTAATATATACAAGCAGAAGGTTAATGAAATTTATATACATAACCCAAATGTCTTATGTGGACAGTTATTTGGTTTATGAAAAATGTTTATATACAATAATTCAAAAATAAAATCCTTTTTCTCTGCCAAGTCATAGAATCATAAGATTAGAACTAGAAGGGCCTTTGGACATCATCTAGTCAAATGCCTTCTTTTTACAGACTAGGAAACTGATGTCGAGACTTTTTTATGCATATAATAAATGGCAGAAATGGAACTTGAATACAACTCCTTTGACTCCAAATCCAAGACTCCTTTCTACTACTAACGTCAATTATACCGCAGATTTTCTTTAAAGTCAATCCAAACACTGTGTTGGCTAGTTTTACTGAAACACTTTGTTCCCTCTTTTGTATTCATTACAAAAAAATGGCTTATTGGACAGGGTAGAAGCAAAGGATATATTCAGAAATGCAGGTGATAAAACAACAAAATATAAGTAATTTTTACTTTAATAAACAATATATGTCTTATAAAGAAATGTCCCAAGGAGCAAAGAGGAATAGTAATGTAAACATTTTAACAGACCACTTAATTAGATGATTTCCCTTTATACCTTTAACAGGTCAAATATCTGAAATTCTTAGGGGGTAGCAGCATCTCTCTATTGCTGCCACCAGTCTTTGACCTAGCCTACAGGGCAAAATTCCAGAGTCCAGCCTGAACCAGATCAAAATGCAACTAGGAAAGTTTAACAGAACAAATAAAAATATCATACCACACAGTTAATGTTGATTTGTGGTATTCTAAGTCAATATGCAGCTTACAGGGATCTGTTTCTATTTGAGTTTGAACATCACTGTTCTAAAGCTATTCCAACTCCACTAAACTGCCGGTAAAAAAGCACTTCTTCTTCTTGGTTCACCTAAGATAAGGTTTGAGGTGTTTTGTTTTTTGCTTTTTAATTTTTACTTAACAAGCAGCTCAAGGTAAAAAAAAAAAAAAGTAATTAACACCAAATACAGAGACCAAATGAATTTACAAAGCATAGAAATCTCATTCTCCAGCATCTATCATCTATGCACAGATGGCTGACAATTTACAAGTCTAAATTGGCTTAGTACCTATCAAACCTAGTCTCCATATCGAAATCTCTCTCATAAACTTTGTTATTAGGCTGACATTTAGTAAAGTCTAAATCATTTAATGCCCTGGAGATAGCCTTTGGAAAGGTGCCAAGATCTGAAATCAACTTCCTCTCTCTTCCACCTCTAAAACAAACATCTCCTGTTGCACTACCACCAAATTCTGATCCAGCAGAGCTTCAACAGACACGATATCTAATTAACATTTCACAATTGTCCTGGTCTAGCTGCCAATTCCAACCACTACTCAATTCCTAAGGTCAAAGGATCACAGATTTCGTGCTAGAAGGAATATGTGCATCATTGTATCCAACCTCTCTTATTTTACAGATGAGGAAACTGAGGTCCAGAGATGGGACATGATTCACCCAAGGTCACACAGAAAATAGCACGGCTAGGATATGAACCCAAAAGTCCAGTACTCTTTCCACTATACCCCTCTTGCAAGTTCTTACCTTCCAAATCATAAACTGACTACCCAGACCATACTATATAAATTAATCTTCTTACAATACCCTGTCTATGTATGTATGTATGTGTATGTCTATGTATGTATGTATGTATGTATGTATGTATGTATGTAATTCCACTAACAAGAAAGGGTTATTTCATCACACTTCCTTTAGTGACTGGCTCCCTATTTCCTAAAAACCAGTTAGGTGATAGAGTGGATAAAGTACTGAACTTGGATTCAGGAAGACCAAACAAATCCTGGCTCAGATATTTATTAGTTATGTGATCTGGGAAGAAGTCATTTAACTTCTTTTAGCCTCAGTTTCCTTCTATGTAAAATTGGGGAAAAAATAGCACCTACTTCACAGAGTTATTTTAAGGATCAAGTGAAATAATGTTTTAAGTGCTTTGCAAATCTTTAAAGCACTCTACAAATACTAGGTATTATTAGGAAACCTAAAAGAATAAATACAAACTCCTTTAATGGCCTCCAAATCTAACCACGACAAATCTTTTTAGTCCAATTCAGGTGGTGCGGTAGATAGAGCTCAGGGCCTAGAATCAATCAGATTTGACTTCAAATCTATCCTTAGATAGTGTGACCCTAGGTACTTAACCTATCTGCCTCAGTTTCCCATTTTGTAAATGGGGATAATAATAGCACCTTACCTCCCAGGGTTGTTGTGAGGATCAAATGAGATAATTATAAAGCACTTAGCATTGTAACTGGCACATAATAAACACTATAAATGTTAGTTATTATCATCATAGCTGTAATTTTTAATCCTAATCCACACTTCCTTTCCCGCTACACGCATTAGTGCAAGGGTTCTTCCCATTCTTCCATGCCCGTAAGTCTGAAATACACTTGATCCCTCCTCGGTTTTGCTTGTTGAAATCCTTTTCTTCCTTCCTTTAAGGTTACTTCTTCCATGAAGCCTTCCTTCCCTGATTTTCTTGATAATAAGATTCAAGTTAAGTCTCCCAAATCCCACTGAGACATGATTTTCTTCCCAGTCAAAAGTGGTCCTACCCTCCTGTAAAGTCAATGCACACTCTACTGTATGTATAAACATTTCTATGAATGTCTCTTTTACTCCTTCCAGACAACACCCTCAAAGATTGTGATTTACTAATCGGTGTCACCCTTAGCACCTGCTATCTTGCACAAAGCAGGCACTTAATAAAAATTGCATCAGTAGATCACTTCAAGCATTAAAATTCAGAATCTGTAAGTTGAATAATTTAAGAAATATAGTATACTATCAAATGAAACATTTGATCCTAAGTTGGATTTGTAGCTAAATCTATTACCCTGAAATAAAATGGGATTTGACACGTTGTCAAATTGGAGGACCAGGAAGGATATCGTTTTTAATACATTTCAATGTATTTGGTCACAAGCAGAAGCTATAAATACACTACACTAAAGAAGATTTACTGTTTATAGACCCATTACTGCTTTTCAGCAAGAGGGGTGAGTTTGTGAGGAAAGATAAGGGAATTCTGTTTGGGACATGCTGAATTCAAAATATATGATAAGTAAATGATGCAAAAAAGAACAGAACTCATCAGGAGAGAGTCTAGAACAGTTAGGTGATGCAATGAAAAGAACAGACTTGACATCAAGAAGATTTGATTTCAAATCATGATCCACTCAAGGGCAGGTGACATACAAAGTAGCCAAAGGCTGAATAGCACCAAAAAATGATGAGCTATGTAGCATGACTAATCCAATGTAACTTAACTAAGTTACTAAATGTAACTTAAACTACTTCAGGCAAAAGTAACAAAAATGGCCTAGCACAATCTATATATCTAGGGGGACAAAAACAAAGCAATGTGCTCAGCTGATCACAGTTTGAGAGGTCAAAGTAGTTCCTACTTGAACAACTTTGTTACCTTTAATTAAACTAATAGCAACTGAAAATCCCTAGGGGATGTCAGCAGCATGCCCATCGTTACCCACAAGTTAGTATGCTTTCTGATTCTGTACCTATCTTCCTATAAAGTAAAAAGCATCTTTAAGGTTTAAGTCAGACCACTCTTCTCTAAGGAGACTTCCCCTCCAGCTAGTCAATTATATTCCCAAATCACTTTGGTTTGTATTTCCTTTGCTCCCTTCACTTCCTACCTTTTATTATACGTGTGTGCACGTTTGAGGGCGCGTGTGTATTCTCTAAGAAGAATGTAACCTCCTAAACAGCAGGGGTTGTAATAATGATAATAATTACAACAACTAGAACTTACATAGTATTTCAAGGTTGGCAAAGTTCTTTACAAAAATCTAAGTTTATTCTCACAACTCTGGAATGTCGGTGCCATTATTATCCCCATTTTACAGATGAGAAAACTAAAGCAGACAGAAATTAAATGACCTGCCCAGGGCCACACAACTAGTAACTCTCTTGAAGTCAAATCTGAACTTGGATCTTCCTATCTCACAGTCCATAACCCTAATCATTGTACTTCCTAGATGACTATCAGATAATAAATGTTTGGTAAGAAGAAAAAAAGGGAATGCAATTCTGCAGTTTGGATTGAGATTATGCCAAAACACCAGATACTATCCACAATAAAAATTATTAGGAGCCAATTAGGAGTGTAATATGACACTCTGAATTTGTCTCACCTAGTAAAAATTATTAAAGGTAAGCTGAGAGTAAAACAACTTTTTAGGCCATGTACTGAATCTCTGATCTCTTTTATATATAAT